CCACTATAGCTTATGCAGCCAGGCTCAGAAAAAAGGCTAATGAATGTGAGTTCGGTACCAATTGTGATGAGCGAATTTTGGAACATTTGATCCAAACAATTGACAAACAGGCCATAATCCAGAAAGCCATTAATAAAGAGTGGTCTTTGACACAACTACTAACCGAAGCAGCTCAGTTGGAGGACACATCACTACAGCTACGTGACATGAAACCGTCAGAAGAGAGGTCAGTCGCTAAAGTAAGGCAACATAAGCAACACAAGAAATCAGGTACATTTGAAAAGAGAAAAACAAAAATTCAACAGAAATCGTGTGGATACTGTGGATTAAATGGAGCTCATAAGGAAGGTCAAAATTGTCCTGCATATGGCAAAAAGTGCAGAAAATGCCAGAAATGGAACCACTTTGCTGCAGTATGTAAAACCAGCAACAGAGATGGGGGCATGAAAGAGACTGACATGAGACAAAAATCTAGACATGACACCAATCAACACAGTACATAGAACTGGAGAAGACAACAAAAACAAAGTATCAAAAAGGCTACAGAGCAGATGCAAAGCAGTGATACAAGTTCTGATGATGAATATTTCAAACAAACAGTCAAACATCTCAAGCAAGTAAAAAAGATAAGTGAAATCAACAACAGTAACAAAACTGTAACTGTAAGAATTTGTGATGTTGATACTCGTGTAGAACCCGACAGTGGTGCAGATGTCAACATTATGGATGAACATCAGTTTAAAGCTCTAGTACACAGATCTAATGATATACATGTACATACACTAGAGAAGAGTCATGTCAAGCTCAACACTTTGCAAAGCAGTCTACCTGTCAAAGGTGAATTCAAAACCGTTGTGAGAAATGAGATATGTGGAGCAGCGACCAAATTCATAGTGGTCAAGGGCAGAATTAACTCGCCTCCACTTATCAGCAAAAGCACCCTCATCAAGTTAGGCATGATACAATTTCAACCAGATGGGTCACTAGCAGAAACCAATAGCTTAAGAATCAAACCCAATATCAAGGCTGTCACAAAAGACAGAAATCAGTTAAAAGACATAACTGGCAAATATAGCAAGTTATTCAGTGGCATAGGAAGAATAAGAGATATAAAGCATGACAAAGAGATTTATGCCAAGCTTAGCATGAAACCAGAAGCAGTACCAATAGCACAGCGACCTAGACCAGTGGCGTACTACCTGCAGAAACATTTAAAGCAATGGTTAGAACGATGCACTGAAGAGGGGATCTTTGAGGAAGTACCTCAGGGGGAACCCGTGACATGGTGTTCATCACTAGTAGTACAACCAAAACCTAGATTCCGCAAGATACCAAATGATCAACTAGAACCCCACATGATCAGAGCCAGTGTTGACTTGAGAGTTCCAAACAAGTTCATGGAGAGAACCCGAATAACACAGGGACCTGTGGTTGATTTTACATCCAAATTCAATGATTGTGTGGTATTTTCCAAGTTAGATATGAGACAGGGATACCATCAACTTTTACTTGACCCAAAGTCGCGAGCGGTTGCTACATTTAGTACACCATGAGGCAACATGAGACCAAGAAGATTGATATTTGGAGCTAAGTCTTCTCAAGACTTATTTGATGAAACAATCTACAGAATTTTTGGAGACATACCAAAGTGTATGAATCAAAGCAACGACATTTTACTCGGAGGACGCAACATAGAAGAGCATAACAAAACACTGGAGGCCGTCCTACAGAGAGCATCACCTTCAACTTGGCATCACCTTCAACTTAGAAAAGTGCAAATTTGGAGTTGAGGAGATCTCCAAAGATGGCTTGAAGCCGACACCAGATAAGGTACAGGCTGTGAAAGAGAGCAACGCACCAGAATCAAAAGAAGCAGTGAGAAGTTTCCTAGGGATGATTGGTTACCTATCCAAATTTATTCCTTGTTATACATCACTGACTGCACCATTAAGAGAACTGACACACAAAAACGTCCAGTTCAAATGGGGGCCAGAAGAAAATACAGCTTTTGAGAAACTCAAAGAAAGCATCACAGGTGAAGATACCATGGCATACTTTAATCCAGCAAAACCAATCACATTAAGAGTTGAAGCTAGCTACCATGAAGGACTATCAGCTGGGTTGTTCCAGATGAGCAGAAAAGGTATGCAACCAGTGCACTTCATCAGCCGAACAATGACAAGTGCAGAGAAAAGATACAGCCAAACAGAGAAAGATGCTTTATCAGTGGTATGGGCAAAGAACAGGTTCAGCATGTATCTGTTAGGAGCACCAAGATTCAAAATCATTACAGCACATAAACCACTGCTACCGATGGTTAACAAAGCAACATCGAAACTACCACCGAGAATAGAGAAATGGGTCGTGGACATGCAAAATGTAAATTATGAGCCAGGAAAGGATGCAGCAGATCCACTAGACTTTCTATATATGCACCCACTACCAAAAACTGGTACAGATACTACAGAGAAGATCATCAAGCAGGTGATAGTTGATGAACATGCAGTAGTGATGGACCGGATCAAAGAAGAAACAGAAACAGATAGTCATATCAGGGATGTCATATCAGTTGATTTTGGAGGACCATATCCAGATGGGCATTATAATCTAGTGGCCATTGACAGAGAACCAGATACCCAGAAGTGGAGACCATGTACTCAACAGCAGCTAAGCCGACCAAGAAAAAGCTCAAGAAAATGTTCGCCACACATGGTACACCAAGGCAGCTAGAAAGTGACAATGGTCCACCTTACAATTCCAGAGAGTTTGCAGACTTCGCAAAGCAAGAAGGATTTCATCACCATCTTGTAACACCCGAACATTCACGAGCCAATGGGAAAGTAGAAGGTTTCATAAAGATGCTAAACAAAACCGGAAGAATAGCACATCTTCAAGGCAAAGACTGTGAAACCGCTGTACAAGAAATGCTAACAGGGTACCGTTCAACACCGCACCCAGCAACAAACACAACACCATATGAAGCACTGATGAACAGACAAGTGAGAACAAAGCTTGATCATCAGATGAGAGATAAAGATAAAGAGACTATACGAGATATTATCATTAATGATAGAGACAAGGAGTATAAGCAGAGACTGAAACGCAACGCTGAGAACAGAAACACCAAAGCACATAACTTTGTAGTAGGTGATTATGTTCTACTAAAGAAA